TCTGCCCCCTGGTGGCCAGTGCGCATCATAGCAACCGGCCATTCTGCCGTTCAGTCAATTTGCATATTAGCCTTTTATTATTATTATATAGGATGTCCCTATTTCCCCCCGTTTGCCCCCTCTACCCAGCTCTTGCCCCCCACTTCTCTCTGGCCATCACCATACTGTTGTCTGTGTCCATGGGTTGTGCATATATTTTCTTTGGCTAATCCCTTCTTTAAATTCACTTCGGGTCCTGGGCGGTGGGCAGGCGGCTCCTGGGGCTTGCGAGGCTGGTGTGCCTGCGGCCGGGGACCGGATCGGGTCCCGGGCGGTGGGCAGGTGGCTCGTGGGGCTTGCGGGGCTGGCGTGCCTGCAGCCTGGGATTGATCGGGTATGGGTGGCAGGCAGGCGGGCAGGCTGCTCCTGGGGCTTGCGGGGCCGGTGTGCCTGCGGCCGGGGACCGGATCTGGTCCCGGGCGGCGGGTCGGCAGCTCCTAGGGATTGCAGGGCCAGTGTGCCTGCAGCCAGGGACCGGATTGGGTCCCGGGCGGCCATAAGGCAGCTTCTGGGGCTTGCAGGGCCGACGTGCCTGCGGCTCGGGACCAGATCCGGTTCTGTGTATGTCCCCTGGTGGTCAGCACACATCATAGCAACCGGTTGTTAGGTTGTTTGGTTGTTCGGTTGTTCCGCTGTTCTGTCTATTTGCATATTAGGCTTTATATATATAAACATAATATGCAAAGTGTCCCCTCGGGAGTTCGACTGACTAGGAATTTGATTGCTTGCTATGATGTGCGCTGACCACCAGGGGGTGGCGTGGAATGAAGGAAGGCCCAGGCCAGCAGCTGGCAGCCACTAGGGACCTTACCCATGCACGAATTTAGTGCACTGGGCCTTTAGGATATAGATAATACTTCATTGTATGTATATACTGTGTCTTGATTGTTCACTTATCTGTTGATGGATACTTAGGTTGTTTCCACCTATTTCACAATATTATGGCTATGAATATAAACTAGAGGCCCAGTGCACGAAATTTGTGCATGGGGGGGGGGGTGTCCCTCAGCCTAGCCTGTATCCTCTCCAATCTTGGGACCCCACAGGGATTGGGCCTAAACCGGCAGTCGGACATCCCTCTCACAATCTGGACTACCAGCTCCCAACTGCTCACCTGTCTGCCTGCCTGATTGCCCCTAACTGCTTCTGCCTGCCAGCCTTATCACCCCCTAACCACACCCCTGCCAGCCTGATTGACACCTAACTGCTCCCCTGCCGGCCTGATCACCCCCAACTGCCCTCCCCTGCCAGCCCGGTCGCCCCAACTGCCCTCCCCTGCCGGCCTGGTTACCCACAACTGCCCTCCCCTGCCGGCCATCTTGTGGTGGCCATCTTGTGTGAGGGCATGGTGATAAATTTGCATATTACCTCTTTATTATATAGGATTTACATGTGGAGTCTCTGCTTTCAATTCATTTGGGTATATACCTAGGAGTGGAAATGCTGGATCATATGGTTATTTTATGTTCAACTTTTTGAGGATAAAATATAATTCTTTTAAAAGTTAAAAACAAATATAGTAGGGCATGTCATTGATTTATATAACTCATTAATGAGGGAACCAGCAGAACACTAAAGTTGATTTAATGGAGAATTTAGGAGACTGCATTGAAAGAAAGAATGCTGGAATTAGATTCCTAAATTTGGCGCAGTCTTACTGTTCCACGGAGCAATAAAGGCATAATTTTTGGGATTATCCTTAGACCTGACAGAAATCATTTGCATAATTTTTTGATTTATCAATCTTCTATAAGTTATATAACTTTAGAGAGTCTAGGCCCTAATAAAAGAAAATGACAAGTCAAAGAATGTTACATTTTCCTGGAAAACCATTTAACTCTTAAGTGGGCTTGTTGGAAAATATTTTAGTAGGACACTGGAAGGGCAAACAGTGATCTTCTGACCTTATCTACAATTTTTAAATAATTTTTTCTTAACTTTGTGTTTCCTTTCACATTGTTTATAGCATATTTTACATTCACTTTTTAACAGTAGACCTCATTTTTAGAGCAGTTTTAGGTATACAGCAGAAAAAAATGAGCAGAAAGCACGGAATTCTCATATATACCCTGCTACTACACATGCACAGTCTCCCCCACATCAAAATCCAGGACTGCTGGCTCCTAACTGCTTGCCTGCCTGCCCGCCTGACTGTCCCTAACCGCTTCTGCCTGCCAACCTGATCACCCCCAACTGCCCTCCCCCGCTGGCCCGATTGCCCCCAACTGCCCTCCCCTGCCGTGACCCGCCTCCTTCATCATGACCCGCCTCCTCTGCTCGAGGCAGCGGAGACACCGGGACTGGCCTCCTCCGCACTGCGTGGAGTCGCATGACCCCAGGCCTCACTGCGCGAAGTGGCCGCTGTGCTCCGCCTCTTCTTGCAAGCGGCCATCTTATGGCGGCCATATTGTGACAACATTGCGCATGAGGGTGTGAGGACCACCTAGGCTTTTATTAGTATAGATCAGTGGTCAGCAAACCACGGCTCGTGAGCCACATGCAGCTCTTTGGCCCCTTGAGTGTGGCTCTTCCATAAAATACCACGTGCGGGCGTGCACGTACAGTACAATTGAAACTTGGTGGCCCATGCACAGAAGTCAGTTTTCGGAAAGGAGATAGACGAAACAAATATACAAGACGAGTGTGGATGGGAGAGTTGGAAGGGGTCGACCTCAATGAAGGTACCTCAATCAGATTGAGGACGTTTTTAGCAAAGGCCAGCTTAGGAGTACCCTAATTAATTTAATAACAGTGTACCTACCTATATAGTTTAAGTTTAAAAAATTTGGCTCTCAAAAGACATTTCAATCGTTGTACTGTTGATATTTGGCTCTGTTGACTAATGAGTTTGCCGACCACTGGTATAGGTGATTGAACCTAATGAGTCTTCACAAGTGGAGGGCCATACATGTTTACATGACATGGATAGAAACATTTCTCAGGAAGCACCATCGTATCTACTGGAAGGCTCACCATGTGGGGGAGATAAGCCTTTGTCTTGGACATATTTGAGTTAATTTCTGTAGTTGTCACAATCAAATTCAGATATGAAGTAATCACTTAAGTTCCATTATGAATATTAAGATATGTGTATATTTTGAAAAAAAATGTCATGTAACTACATGGGAGGCCTCCATTTTCTTGTGTTTTAGGGGTTTTTTTACTCTCTCTTTGATTCCATGTTCATTTGATTGGGAAAATATTACCTTTTTTTTCCAATGGTGCAGATATGTTCAGTGTTAGCTTATATAATCCTTAATGTATTTGACTCTGGCACTCCAAAACCATCTGCTTATGATTTTTAAGAATCAATTCATATGTTGAAGTTTTTATAAACATCAAGTTTAGAGTAGCTGTAAAATGTAGGTAAATTAAATTTTACTTCACTGTCTATAATTTGGTAAATGTTTGCTGTTATTATGTGCTTTATTTTCTCTAATTACTATACATTGTCTGAAGATCATATGAAAGAGAAAGTAAATTCCCCAAGCTTCTCTAGAGTCATTGCTTATTGCTTATGCTTAATTTCATGTTAGACATTTATAAAGTGTGTGTATATATGTTATCTACCTTTCCATATATGGAAATATATTAGGTCTTATTTAATATAAGATGAACTATCATCTCTTTTTATTTAATTATTCGGATTTGGATTTGAAGTTTGTGACCTAATTCATTTTGATTATGTTAAAGGCTATATATAGATAGAATAGCATTTTATGAATTTTGAGTGATGTAAAATAAGGAAGCTGAAGCCCAATACAATCTATACCTAGTACATTTTTGTACATATCTGAGTTCACTATATAAAATTAAAATCATGCCCTGGCTGGCGTGGCTCAGTTGGTTGAGTGTTGTCCCATGCACTGAAGGGTTGCCGAATGGATTCCTGGTCAGAGCACATAACCAGATTTCCTGGTTGTTCCCTGGTCGGGGTGTGTGCATGAGGCAACCAGTCAATGTTTCTCTCTCACATCAATGTTTCTCTCTCCCTCTAAAGTAAAATAAAATTTATTTTTAAAAAATTTATAAAAATTAAAATCAAAAGACCTGACCTTGATGCCTCAATGCTGAGTTTGACTGTATATACTAACAACCCAATTTGTGCCCAAACCTTATTTCAATAACAAATATATAATGTATTAAGTTATTAAATACGTTCCTAAGTTTACATATTCTTAAAATCTATGTCTCTTGATATAATTCAAATTTTTTATAGAATTCAATTTTTACAAAGTTTTAAAATTAAAACATTTGGAGATGGGCCAAACCTCCCCCTCCCGAAATACAATTAGCTATTACTTAGTAGGTTTGAAAACATTTTTGTACCATAGTTGAATATAACATAATATTTTGTATGTGCTTTTATCTGTTTTGCATAATCCAAATTTTATTTGATTATCTCATTTTCTCTGTGTAATCATTTATATGTCTGATAGTTTTTCTTTTTCCTTCTGAGGAACATATTACATAATGTGTTATATAATATACATAGTTATATACATATATTGTTTTTATAGTTTGCTACTTAGTAAAAGACAAGTCGAAATATTTTCCTTTGGCTTCTTGTCTATTATTAACTAAAGTTTATTATGGTTTTTGGGAAGCATAATAATAAAATTTAGCAGTTCCCATGCTTTTATGATAACAATTCCCAACCAACTAGTAATTTGTATTTATATAAAGGTAAAGCAATTATTGGTAAAGTTATATTCTGACGTTTGAACTAGCAAGTGCTGCGGAAATGTCTGTAGAGAGTAATTAAATAGACACAAGGGTCTTTTTGTACTGCGGATGGAGCTCTTTGTATTTAGTGACTGAGCTGTTTTGATCCTGGTTAATGTTAGAAGAGAAAGAATATTTCTGCTGCTAATCATTGAAGCCTTTTTAAATCCGGCACTGAATATGTTCTTAAAATTGGCAATAAACATACTCCTGCACACATTTTTTTCTTTCCCTAGGACTACAGAGTTAATATCTTCCTGAGACAAAAATGGAACGATCCCAGGCTGAAGCTCCCAAGCGATTTTCGGGGCTCAGATGCCCTGACAGTGGATCCCACAATGTACAAGTGTCTGTGGAAACCTGATTTGTTTTTTGCAAATGAAAAAAGTGCCAATTTTCATGATGTAACCCAGGAGAATATCCTCCTCTTTATTTTTCGGGATGGAGATGTCCTTGTCAGCATGAGGTACTTTGATGTTTAATATTTGTACATTTATATTTTCCTTTTAAAATCAGCATATCAGGGGGAAATATGTCAAATGACTTCTACTACCTCTGTTTCTACTTTCAGGTTATCTATTACTCTTTCATGCCCATTGGACTTGACCTTGTTTCCCATGGATACACAACGCTGCAAAATGCAACTTGAGAGCTGTATGTAAAACGAAACCCTAAATGACTATAGGAATAAAAATATTTAAAATTTCTAGGAAGTGCATTCTACTAATCTTAGGTAGCAATGGTAAAAACGAAGGCTTTTGATTACAAATAGTCATTAGAATAATTTATTTAAGGAAATTATCGTTAGTCTTTTACTATATTAATTTGTACTAAAACAAATCCTTTTGGTACTATACTAATTTTGTATTACAGTTAAATTGATGTAGGTGTTCACTTCTAACTGATTCCAATTGCCATCTTCATTTGAAATAGTAATGTAGGCAAGATAAAGGAGAAAATGCTTTCCTAATAATTTTCTGATATTAAAACCACATTTTTAGAGCAGAACATTTGAAAAACATGCAAAAATATTATTTAAATCGTACCAAGCATTCATTTTTCTATAGGTGTATAAACATTATTATTATTTTTTTTTACAAAATTGGATTCTCTATGTTTCTACAATCAGATATATTTCATATCATAAAACATGAAATAGGTGCACTAATTGAAATGGTTACCTCTAAAAATATTAATTTGCTATAATACTTGACTTTTAAAAATAAAATTCAAAATATTAACACTAAGCCCTAGCCGGTTTGGCTCAGTGGATAGAGCGTCGGCCTGCGGACTGAAAGGTCCCAGGTTCGATTCCGGTCAAGGGCATGTACCTTGGTTGCGGGCACATACCCAGTGGGTTGTGTGCAGGAGGCAGCCGATCGATGTTTCTCTCTCATCGATGTTTCTGACTCTCTGTCCCTCTCCCTTTCTCTCTGTAAAAAAATCAATGAAATATATTTTTTTTAAAAAAGAACTCACCCATGCATTTAAAAAAAATATTAACACTAATAGAAGGAATCTTCAACCTGATTAGTTGTTTACCATAACCTATTTCTGTGGAGAATAAACAATAATAACCTTGTAGGCAAGCATATGCTTGTTGGATGATATGTTTTAAAATTAATGATTATTAGCTGTTTTTTATTTAAGTTACTACTTAAAATTGGAATATTTATGCCTGTCCTAACATAAAATAAGGAAAATAAGATTTTGCAGATGTTAGTGTATATATGTCATGTTGGTGTATATATCACACATATGTGTGCTTGTGTATTTTCATTTAAAAACTCAACTATGTATTTATATTCCATTCTATTAACAGAAGAACTAAAATATTGCTTTAAAAATATATGCACTTTAGAGTTGAACGGTAGGTTACTATATGCTGTAAATGCCCATATGATCCCTGAGTCGTGGCCACATTACTTAAGCCCAGAATGTGTGCTTCAGTATGCCACAATGATGGCCACTGGACGGGTGGGGGAAGGATGGGATTGTTTTATTGCTCTCCTGTGGCAATGCAACCCCTTCAGGGAAGTTTGTAGTTACTTCTTAAAAATGTTTTGGTGCTTATATTTATTTTAAATTTTCCAGGTAGTATATTGCATGATTTGAAAGCTAGTATCACTTATTTATTACTTTTTCTTATTGATGACATTTCAGAATTCTCACATAATGTATATGACCCTGGGATTTTATATCTAATATGCTGATTATTTTGACATGTTCTTTCTTTAAGACAACTATCTTTAACTTTTGTGTTAATATTTTCATCAGTGGCTATAGATATTACCTAATTTTAATAACAATTTCATGTCTCTTTTCTTATCATTTTGGTGTTGAATATTCGAATTATTAAAATACTAAGAAAGCATTAATAATTGCATTTCAAACTAATATTTTTATTTATTTTTGTTTATAGTTGGTTACACAACTGATGATTTACGATTTATCTGGCAGTCAGGGGATCCTGTTCAGTTAGAAAAAATTGCCTTGCCTCAATTTGATATAAAAAAGGAGGATATTGAATATGGTAACTGTACAAAATACTATAAAGGCACTGGTAAGTAATGATCTTTAAGTTAAACAAAACTAAATTCTATTTCAAAGATCTGTTTTAATATTAATATATGCTAAGGGCAAAATAGAAGAAAACTAGTTAAAAATAAGTTCAATATTTATTAGTATAACTTTACAATATTATATTTAAATTTCTCATAAAATTGCATTCACTAAAGTTTTTAAAAACATTTTTATTACTGGAGAATTTTGCCTTTTTTAATGTAATTCTGGGTAGGAAGAGGTTTTCAATTTTTTATTTTAGTAATATGAACTTAGCCAGGTAGTGGTTTTGTAGATGTTATGAAGAAATTCTACTTTTGGCAAGATTCAATTTGAGACCAAACACTGTGGATATGAGCAACATAATTCATTTATACTCATCTATTGTCTGTGAGCAATTTTTAGGTAGTGGTTGACCAATATTATTAGTTGTAAAAAGCATTAATCTTCATGCTGTGCAAGAAGCAATGAGTGTGTGAAGTAATTTGACATAAGTCAGTATTTTTGTATGTTTGATATTATTGGCCTAGGTTATGGAACAGCCAATTATGAAAAGCACAACAAATTAACCTCATTCACTAATTACCCCCCAAGCTTTTACAGAAATAAAAATACAGTAATCACTACTCAATACTTTTATAATATGATTAGTCTTAACCTTTGAGTCTCTACTGATAGTTATATGTTACTGAGTGATTTTACATATTAAATATGGTGTTATTTTGATTAGCAATATAAATAAAAAGTGATTGAATTTTGATTATTACATTAATACTAATAATCAGTTTGACTTGTAAATACCACACAATTCGAATTACATTTCAGGAAGTAAATCAAGACAAAGATATTCAGGGATAGATATAAAGTTTACATTTATGGCAACATCTATGTTGACTGTTCAAAAATAACAATGTATAGTGTAATATATAGAATTCAGCAATATCAAATGTTTGAGCTAAAGTGTTGCCATCATGACATCATCAAGAACAAAATATAGCCCTAGCTGGTTTGGCTCAGTGGATAGAGTGTCAGCCTGCGGACTGAAGGGTCCCGGGTTTGATTCTGGTCAGGGGCATGTACCTTGGTTGCGGGCACATCCCTAGGAGGGGGTGTGCAGGAGGCAGCTGATTGATGTTTCTCTCTCATCGATGTTTCAAACTCTCTATCCCTCTCCCTTCTTCTCTGTAAAAAATCAGTAAAATATATTTTTTTAAAAAAGAACAAAATATAATTTAAAATATTTCTGTTGATATTAAAATAAAAGGGGGAGTGACATTTGCATATTAAGAGTGTTATAATAAATGCAACACTAGGCAACTCAGAGATAAAGTTAGTTTAAACATCTGTTGTTGTTGATCTTCAAATAAATGAATAGTCCTTAGGAACTACTTACATATAAATGGTATATAGTCAATTTTTATATAAATGTTATATAATTTGTTAATTTAATAACAGATTATTAAATAGTCTGGGGGCTATTTACATATATTTTACATTATTTATTTACATAGAAATGTTATATAACCTGTTACTTTATTTAAAGGTCAATAACAACAGATGCTTAAACTAACTTTGTCTACAAATTGGTTAGTGTTGCATTTATAACACTGCCAGAGGGGAGGGGAGTGGTGGGAGGGGTGAAAAGGTAAAGGGGAATAAGAGGTGCAAACTTCTTATTATAACTATAGAGTCAGCAGGTCAGGGGGATGTAATGTATAGCCTAGGGCCGTAGTTGGCAAAGGGCCACATGCGGCTCTTTGGCCCCTTGAGTGTGGCTCTTCCTAAGCCTTAGGAGTACCCTAATTAAGTTAATAACAATGTACCTACCTATATAGTTTAAATTTAAAAAATTTGGCTCTCAAAAGAAATTTCAATCGTTGTACTGTTGATATTTGGCTCTGTTGACTAATGAGTTTGCCGACCACTGGTGGTGAATATAATTCAATAAGATTATAATAACTTTGTACTGTGACAGATGGTTACTAGACTTATCATGGTGATCACTTCGTAAAGTTTATAAATGTGGAATCATTATGTTGTACACCTGAAACTAATACAATATTGATTCTCAACTATACTTTGATAATAAAAATAATTACCAAGTTTTTTGAAAGGCAAAACTAAAAAAGTGGTCATGTAAGTACTCAATGAACAAATCATAGACACATAGAATTTTAAATATAGAAGGGACCAGATTGATACTGAAATAAAATAACTGAGATGCAGGGTGACTGAATGTCACCAGGCAAATCAGGGTCAGCCATAGCCTAGGCGTATAGTATAGTATTCCTGCTCTCTATACTCCCCATTCAAATTAAGGAGACTGACTACAGTTTTAGGGATTTTTACAATTCACCTAGTAATTATAATTAAAAAAAACTTGAAAGTCAAGAAAAATCATTTGAGATGGTTGTGAAAACACATATTTAGCAGATGGCTTTTTGAGTTCTGGCTCTATTTTAGGCTTTGTTTTAACTGCTTTGTAGGAATTCTATGACTTAGTCCTCACAACAATGCTCTGAGTTCATTACTTTTACCGTATTCTCCCTGTTTACACATTAGGATAATGAAGCAAAGAAGCTGCCCAAAGTCTACTGTTACTAAATGATGTCCTGGGATAGTGAGTCTGACATCACTACACAACCTGTGGAGTCGGTCCTATTGGACTTTGACAATACTTACCCACATCCAGATTATATGCTTAACATTAACAGTCTATTGTTTTGAAAAAATGTAATATGTTTATCGAAGTTTTAAAATTCATCTAGAGATGAAAATAAAACTAGTAATCTTCTTTCTAATTTTAAGTAATAGCATAAAATTAAGGACCAGCATTGAAAATTATGGGGCTTTTAATTTTTTTTTACCTTTAATTCCTTCATTTAAAAGTCCCCATTTGGGGATTCAACAGTGAATAAAAGAGAGGGTGATGTCCTTTTATAGATTCATACTCTAATATGGTAAATAAATAAACTGATATAGTTAATTTTAGTTCTGAGAAAAAAATTAAAAGGTGTGCTGTGGTAGAGAGTACTTGAAGAATTACTCAAGATTTATGATAAGTAAAGCATTTTGTAGAATTTTTTTGTTATCATAAATAAGTCCCTGCTCTCTCATTAGTTACAGAAAAAATGATAACAAAAAACTTAAGGTTAATATAAAAATATTTGGCATTGTGTTTCAGTAAACATGCTTTATCAGCATTTACATGAATCATATGAATATAAGTAAATCATAAATTAATCTTTGCATAACATTGAGAAATGTATTTAGAAAACTAGAACATTCAAAACATATGGAATGCTTAATCAAGTAGTGAAAAAGATATAGAGAACAACATATATAAAATAATGGCCTACATATTCCTTAATGTGTACAGAAATATCAGAAATAATGAATTGGCTTTAACTTGATTAAAAATTGTTTTAATAATTGTAAAAATTGCAAAGGTGGAGAAATATGTGGGAAAGCAAGTATACAAAAATACTTAAATTGGAAGCCTGAGTGAATAATAACGAAATGAAATCCCACAGGAAATAGAAAATAAATTGAATTTGCCAATGAACATTTATATCAATTAGCTGCCCACCTGCCTCTCATAAATGTAACAGTACCAGGAAGAGATCAAAAAAGGTCAAGAAATGTTTCTCATAAAAGTTTATGGAGCAAATCGCGATAATATCCAAGCCTGTATTTTACTGCCAAATGCGTCCAGGTCTTGGGAAGCTCCCCCAGAAGTGCCTTCCTAAGGGAACGTGATGGAAACTTGCTTTAGAATACAGGACTCGTGTTATTTAGGCTGTCATTTAAACATGGTGGGATGGAATGCAAAAATTTGTCTTAAAGCGAACAACTCTATAGTAAATTGTCATATTTCTGACTACTTGGGCTACCTAAAAATACATAAGCACATTGTGTCATTCCCTGTTTCTCACATACTAGATGAATATAAAATTAACTTAAATGATACATTACAAAGCCAGGTACTTCAGAACCACTTGTGGGAAATACTGTGAGCTTCTTAACCGTAGCATATTGGATTTATGAAAGATTATATTTTGGAAAATTTGCACGTGATTGTTAGTTAGAAACATATGTTCTTGTTTGTCTGGGCAGGAAGTTAAGATGAGTGGCTGGAAACAGAAAAGGGAGGGACATTTTTTTATTATTTTATTGCCTTTTGTATCTTTTAAAACCTGTGTATAGTTTTCATGACATTAAAATTTAAAAAGAAAAAGAACAAACATTCTGCATTTATTGTTTTTTGATAATATGGAAACATGTGGCATAATTAGAATTTGCTTCAGCCCAAATCAGCTATTTATTGTTCTTACATGTTAGCTCTAATGATTGCAAATTTTGTTATAAGTACCATTAATGAATAAATATGAAGATTGTTCTAGTGTCAGAAGTGTATACATTCTTTATAACCGGGAAAAATAGGTAAATATTACTTTTTAAATGTAAAATAGTAAAAAGTAATATTGTTCTTTTCCTATAATTATTTTATTTATTCATTGTTAATTTATTTGTTTCAACATTTATAAATAACAATGTACAGTTTAGGCTGAACACAACTGAAGATATTTTAACTTCTTGGTATTTGTACATAACCTTACTTTGGTTGAATGGTAAATGACATTTTTATTTAAATTTAGTGCTTTAGGCATTAAATATCACACTTAAATTGCTGACTGAAAGTACTAAAGCATTTAAAAATTAAATACAAACATCTGGAAATATTTCAGTGTTAGGAGACTATTTACGTCACTTATTTTCTGTCTCAAGTCAGCAATGGTTATTATGAGGCTGCTCATAATTTGTGATTAATTTGGGGGAACTAGTTGATGTCATAGCAGCTCCAAAATTATGTTGTAAAGAAATGTCTGCATTTGTCTCAGCTTGTGAAAATGAAGTCCTTTCCCTCAGTCAGAGAATGTTTGAGGGCCTGGAGCGGAGGAAGGGAGAATTGAGAGGAATCTCAGATGCTTGTACTTTATAATATTCTATCTAAATAAAATGAAAACACTTATTCTCGCTAATGTTTACTTCCAATACATTCTTAGTTTTTAAGGCTTCAATATGCATTTAAGTGTAGGAGACTGCCCTGCTTTATAGATAAGAAGTGATAGATGCGGGTGAAAAATTATACTGACCACATGTAGTTCAGGAGTGTTTCTGGACTTATCCGGATTTGGTTTATTGCTCCCTGTATGATTCCTTGAGATAATTTGCTCAGAGAGTAAATGAGAAGTTTAAGTCCATTACAAAGGCAGTGATGGAAGTGGAGCCACACATTGGTATCTGTTTCTCAATGTCATAGTGAAGTTGTGAAAGGTCAGGTGAAACTGGCCCTATAGTGTCATCCTTATAGACCACACCATACACACACACACACACACACACACACACACACACACACACACACACACACACTAGTTGACTTTGTGAAACTGTCTCAAATAGAAGTAACATAACTTATAGGTACCTTATTGATTTCTGAAGTTGGATGTGGGTGAGAACCTCATGTTAATACGTTTGTTTCGGAAGGGTACTACACCTGTGTGGAAGTCATCTTCACCCTGCGGAGACAGGTTGGGTTTTACATGATGGGCGTCTACGCCCCGACCCTGCTGATCGTGGTTCTCTCCTGGCTTTCCTTCTGGATCAACCCGGACGCCAGTGCTGCCAGAGTGCCGCTGGGTAAAGTGCTCCATACTTCCCTCTTGTGTCAGGAATGTGTGATGTCTTTAGTGAACTAACTATACAGTCAAATATTTTGAAATAATTAGTTTGGGAGTTGATGGCAAGCTTTTTCTTCCTTTTTTTTTAACCTCCTTAAAACGTGCCATTAAGTTAGATTTTCTCAATATTTAGGCACTCTAATTAAGCTAAGTTTTTTTTTTGTTTTTTGTTTTTGTGTGTGTGTGTGTGTGTGTGTGTGTGTCCTTGGGGCATTTTCAACAGTAAATCAATCCTACTTTGACTTTCATAAAATAATTATTAATATGTGATATTCACTGATAACTAAAGTCTAAATTCCCAAATAGTGACAAACTTAAAACAACAACTTTTATGAAAATCTTTCCAATAAATATTTTATACTATCTTATACTCTTTGTCAGGGATATAAAATCCTACTTCGTTTTTAAAAAATAACTAAGCATCACTTTCCTAAACATCAGTTATTATGTGCTATATCAGTGATGGCGAACCTATGACACGCGTGTCAGAGGTGACACGCGAACTCTTTTTTGATTGATTTTTCTTTGTTAAATGGCATTTAAATATGTAAAATAAATATCAAAAATATAAATCTTTGTTTTACTATGGTTGCAAAGATAAAAAAATTTCTATATGTGACACGGCACCAGAGTTAAGTTAGGGTTTTTCAAAATGCTGACACGCCGAGCTCAAAAGGTTCGCCATCACTGTGCTATATCATCAGCAGTGGCTAGAAAGAGTAAGGGCTGGTTATCCATACTCTCCAATTCGTTATTTTTAATGTTCTGTGACATGGAAGCACCATTAGCCAGAGTTGAAAATCGTGTCAGTACAGGGACTAAAAGGTCTGTGCTTAGGAAAGTCATCAAGAGCCTTTCTAATGAGTAAAGTGAATGAATTTCAAAGTAAGGACATTTTGTTTGGTGTGTTTGTTAGGAGTGTTTTAAATCTTTCCATGACTGTGTGTATGTGTATGTGCATGCATATGTGTTTGTTCTGAATATCACCTAGAACTCACATAGGTAAAAATGTGATATATCTGACTTCTCAGTGACTGATTGGTTGCAGAATTTCATTTTTTTCTTCCATCAGAAAAGCCTTGTGCAAATCTCCCTGTTCCAACTTATAGGAATAATTAAATGAATTATAGATTTTGAAAATAAGGAAACCAGGAAAGAAGCAATGAAAATGACAACATTGTCTGAATAACAAACTTGGAGGTTTACATCTAATAAAAACCACAGAGACCAAATCTATGTCTTAATAACCAAACGTGTGGAAATTTTATTCTAAGGGTCACGTATCAGTATTGAAGACAATGACAATTGATAGATTAATTATTGTAGAGGATAAGAATTAACTATGCAGTATAATTTTCTGTCGATAAAACACCCAAAACTAGACTTAAATTACTAGACTTGTCAAAAACATTATGCATTCCCCCCTCCCCCGCCCCGCAAATAGTCAATATTTTTTTGGTTTACTAGAAATATTTTACTCTCATGTAGTAACACAGGGGTGAGCAAAAGTAGGTTGTTTTGTGTGTGTGTGCCATTGTGGCATTCTTTTGAGTTAACAAAGCTATTGTAACAATCATAACTTGCATGTCTTTTTCCATATGAACAACTTACTTTTGCCCTGCTCTGTGTAAATTGAAATGTCAGTACATATATACTATGGAATACTACTCAGCCATAAGAAAAGATGAAATACTGCCATTTGTGGCAACAAAATAAGTCAGTCAGAAAAAGCTAGAACCCTATGATTTCACTCCTATGTGGGATATAAAACTGAAACTTACAGACAACAGTATGGTGGTTACCAGAGGGAAGGGTTTGGGAGGGGTAGTAAAGAGTAAAGAGAACCAAATATATGGTGACAGAAGATGATTTGACTTCGGGTGGTGAGCACACAAAGCAACCTACAGATGATGTATCCTAGAAATATACACTTGAAACATATGTGATCTTGTTTCCCAGTCTCACCCCAATAAAATTAATGAAAAAATAAAATATGAAGAAATGTCTGGCTCCCAGGGGTACTTTGGAGTTAGCTTTACATATAGCAGAATTTACATATAGCAGAATTTCCTTTTTTCCTTTAAAACCGGAATCATTTGCTTTCTCTAAAATAACCAGGAATGTTCTCTACTTTGTCTTTCCTATGACATTTAAAAAAATTGTGACCCTTATCAGTAAATTGCTTTATATGTTCTATTTTTGTTCGGATTCAGTTGTTCATGGGATCAAATTCAACTCTTCAACTGTCTAAAAGAATGCTAAAGAAACGAAATAAGCTTTGTAGCTTCCTCAGAGATACTAGAGAAGAGTTTTAGATAGCTTTAATATTTAAACCAGCTCCAAAAGGTGTTTTTATGTCTCAGTTTAAATTTCTATTTCTTTGTTTACTGAGTATTTACAAACATCCCCAACCACATTTAATAATGCTGACCTAAAAAGTCTGTGTGTATTATTTCTTCTACTCTTTGTGCTTTAAAGGGACCTGATGAATTGTTCATGGGTCTCTGGAGCTTATTGGAGAGGGAGTTAGTTAAAGAGTAATGGTTGCAGGACATTTTTCCACAGGGCTAAATAGCAACTTTAATTCCCACTTCTGTTTCTGTAGGTATCTTTTCAGTACTCAGCTTGGCCTCTGAGTGCACAACCCTTGCTGCTGAACTTCCCAAAGTCTCCTACGTGAAGGCTCTTGATGTATGGCTCATTGCTTGTCTTCTCTTTGGGTTTGCCTCCCTTGTGGAGTATGCTGTTGTCCAGGTGATGCTAAATAACCCCAAACGAGTTGAAGCAGAAAAGGCCAGAATTGCTAAGGCTGAGCAAGCAGATGGAAAAGGTGGAAATGCGGCTAAAAAGAATACTGTGAATGGTACAGGGACTCCGGTTCACATTAGCACTTTGCAGGTAAGAATGCAATGATCCAACCAGATGATTTCCCCCATCATGGCTCTCTAGTGCCAGGAGAGAGATACTGTTCTGTGGGCGTAAAGGTTTGATCAAATTGGCATTCACTCATTTTTTCTCATTGATGAAAAGAAACTAAGCACTACATACTTTTCGGGAAACAAACAGAAACCATGTAGGTCACATACTCATTAAGGAAAAATGTCCAACACCTTATCACGTTTTTGGTGGACTTTCCACTGAGTTTAATGATGTGTCTCTGCGTTGATGTCACCATCCCATGTGGAGGTCTTGCCAGAACTACAGACCGCCTTACAAATGTTTCTCATCTGTAAGTTTTAGTGAAAGGCCAGAGGACGTTGGGGAAGCACCAACCTTCTACTTACAGTGAAGGCTTAGGGGAGCTATGCTCCGGATTAAATCCCCCTACATGTTTCCCATCAATTTAGAGAGTTTCACCCAGAACAGGACAGGCAGGCTACTTACTTATTGGGTGCCTGGCTCACAGGGAAACTAGCACATAGTTTGAGATCTGCCCAGCCTAGGGGTGAGTACCTGGAGAACTGGACAGGTTTCACTCTTTCACGTTGTCTTGTCCTTGATCATAGGTCTAGGAATAGTGGTTGATGTTTGTAGGTTCAGGTTTGATAAATCCTGAAGCAACAGGCTACTTCATGGATTCGGATAGTGTCTCCCAAGTGTCTCTAATTGGTGTCCTCTGGTTGGGAAGACTAATAAACCAATAGATGATTTCCACTGAGCTTAGCATGGAAAATTCCTCAAGAGACTATTGGTATATTGCATTCTACAACCTTGAAACTTTTGCTTGCTCTGTCTATTTTCTGGCCCCATGCGACTCAGTGTGTTGACCACTCCCCTAAATGAGATAAGTATGCTACATACGTATTGTTATGTACAAAAGCAAGCAAACAGTTCTTATGTGATGCTGCCTGTAGATGTTTCCTTTTTTGCTAAGTAATTGAACTCACTTTCTGAGACTACAACTAAGACTTCTGCAAATTATTAGTTGCTACTTTGCAGGACATTTCCTCAGACCTTATAACTCTTTAATACCCTAATCATTTTCATAGAGAATAACTTTTTCATTAATGGAGAGCTATCATGGCCTTAAAGAAGTAATGTCTTTGCCCAGCTAGTGTGGCTCAGTGGTTGAGTGTCAATTCATGAACCCAGAGGTTACAGGTTCGATTCCTGGTCAGGGCACATGCCCAGGTTGTAGACATGTGGCAACAGACTGATGTATCTCTCTCATCGATGTGTCTACCTCTCTATCCCTCTCCCTTCCTCTCTCTTTAAAATCAATAAAAACATATTTTTAAAATGAAGTCACGTCTTTGACATGTCTTACCTGCCCACTGACAGCTCCCAATCTTACCACTTCCTCATATTTCCAACCAGCTAATCTGCCCACCCTCTAACTTGGATCCCGGTGAAGAGATCTGGAGATAGGAAGCAAAGATGTTCTGTAAAGCAGGTGCTTGATTTCAGGAGTGCCACAATCAGCTCCATTCTCTAGTGTGTGGTGGGGCCTCTGTAACTACAGAAATTCTCTAGTCACACGGAACACCAATGTGCAGATGAGCTTGGAATCTTAATGCATTCCATGAAGTGGGGTATTGAGGGAAGGAGACACACGAGAACCAGATTTTCAGAGCACTGTAGAACATATCAAGATTATTTATGAACATAAATATGAAGAATAAATAGGATCCAGAGTATTAGACTAAGTTATATTATTTTAAATTCAGCTTTTAAGCATTGAAATAATTACCTAATGAATAAAAGTTCAGTATATAATAACTTCTGTATTTTAATCCTCTGTTTTCAGTTGCTAATAGACACAGGCGTGTCTGGATTCTGAAATTGCTATGACATTTTACTACAAAAGTGATAGAGTGATGCTTAGAGAGATTAAACGTTGACCAGAAATTCTAATATCCAGATGTAAATGTAAATTACTCTTCTTTCTTACAGGCCAAAATGCAATTTCAAATTTTAATATTGTAACTATGTAATGTTTGCATCATCAGACAAGCTTCAAAATGAGAGAATGTGTCCAGAAATAATTTAGCTTTAATGTAAGCATCAAACTTACAGTAAATGTGTGTGAGAAATTTGTAAGATTGTTACACATTGACACATGAAAAAAAGTATAAAAAAAGAAATTAAACATTTTTTGCCTTTTTAATTTAGTGCTTTTCGTTTCAAAATGTATTTGCTCTAGTGTATTTTGCTTTCAGAACATTTTGCTTTTGCTGAGTAATTTCAATCAGATATGTCATTTATTTTTAGACAGAATAACAATATTAATGGGAGCATAATGAAATTTGGGTTATAGAAAACATTTAAGGATGATTTTTAAAAATTGATCTCAGAAAGGAAGGGAGAGGGAGAGAGAGATAGAAACATCAATGATGAGAGAGAATCAATGATGGGCTGCCTCCTGCACACCCCCCACTGGAGACCAAGCCTGCAATCTGGGCATGTGCTCTGAACAGGAATCCTACTGTGACCTTCTGGTTCATAGTTTGATGCTCCACCACTGTGGCACACCAGCTGGGCTAATGCTGATTTTTTAATAATGTTCTTGCTAAGAAACATAATGATAAAAAAAATTTAAGAAAGATCAATGATAATTTAACCTAGCTTTTAGTAAGAAGTTTTCATAACTTCATAATTTTGACTACATACAGAAATATACCATTATTCATTTATAATTGTCTAAGTTTTCCCTCCCTAAATTTTGTACTTCCTCAGCTGTTACTAAATTTTGGTTACTAATTTGTTCACTCATGTATTTCTTTTTTATTTAATAAGTACAGTTAAGGACCTACTGTTGTCAATATCATCCTGTTCTTAATACCTAGTATGTGCTATTTACAACAAAGGTATTTTGAATAAAAGACAAAATAGTATTCATGTCTATGGATTTGAATAAATTCATATATAAAAGTTGTTGTTCATGCATGAATAAAATAGTTGTTTCTTTATAGGAATGATGTGTTTTTAAAGTTAAATGTTGATTTAAATTTTATGTAATATATAGAGTTTATTCATTTTGAGCATATTTTTATCTTCTGTGGAAATACCATTATCACATTGAAATCGTGCCTAAGTCTTCTGCTCAAGAAACATCATAAAAGGTGATTTGCTATTAAACGTGTATAGACACAGAATGAAAAGAATCAGAAGGAATACCTCAGAGGTTAAAATTTGAAGCATTAGGTGGTTTTAAATTTGCATTATTTTTTTTACAGTTTCATTATTATACTACCTCATTTTTGCTACCAGTAATTTTGAGAAGTGACAAGTTTATATGAAAGTGAGACCCATATGAGAAAATAATGAGAAATTATAAATTGGAGATTAATATAATCAAGATCACTTTTAAGAATGTGTTAATAACTAGGGTTACTATTTCTTTTATAAGCACTTTATTGAGTCCCTCTTCATGTGATAATTGTTTAAAATGGTGTTTATATTATAAACTATTTTATACTTTTATGTACATATAAATGATACATATGTGTAGAGAGTAATTAAAAAAGGAAGTTGTCTGTTTAAAATTTCTGATGAAAGGGACAAGATGAGATCAGCCAATTTGTTAATGAGTCATGAGCTATTTAAGGAACCTGAGAACTTCTCAGTAGGAAACTTAATCTTATACCTTATTTAGTTGTGTCATATCATTAAAAATTACTTCTGTAATAGATAGAGGTTCTTTCCACCAACACACACACACACACGCACACACTGATTTCAAATACATCTCTGGAAAAAGTTTTAACAAAATAAAACTTAAAAATTTAGTATAACCAAATTGAAACTTTTTGGAGTGCTTTTCTATGCTATATGTTAACATTGAAGAAATCATTCTTCTCTTACTGACATGTTTACTATATTTAAATAATATTTCTGAATAAATATTCTATACCTACATTTGAATAAACTATATAGATAAAATTCTAACATCATTAAAATTGCTAGAATATAAAAATATGTTTATGTGAATATTTTTATGCAAATAAAAATAATTAAAATTTATGTAAATAAAAACAATTGGAAGTATTTCTGTGTGACAAGTCCTAACATCACATAAATTTGGCTTCTTGTTTAGTTATTTACAGATATAAAAGCCACATATAAAATATCATTTACAGTAAATGCATTTCTATACTAAATACATGTGGCCTTTTTTGTGAAAAATAAAAATAACTGATAAGAAGGCATACTTTCTAAGTCTAAAGCTAGAGTTCTTTGTTTTGATGAATGAATCTAAAGTAAAGTGAGTGCATCTAAAGCTTTTAGAGTGGAAAGTTTTAAAGGGAGAAAGTATGGGATATCCACCGTATCCCAGATTTTGAAAACTGCTTTGATAGTTTGAGGATAATGCAAAGATTTGGTATGTAGAGTCTGTTCTCAATTTGTCTTCCAATCAAGGTAATTATGTACTCTTTACAGAAACTCACTGATACATGCTGAGACCTACACATTCCTCAGACAGCCCTGGAAACCTAGAACTTTAAATGCGGTCTTCTGTCTGGAACAGAATAATCTCTGTAGCATGCACTCTGGCTAAAATACGCACCATTTCTTCAGGTTCTCTGAGTGTGGTTTGCTAATTCAACTTTAGCCAACAAGTTAGGAATTCCTCTCACTAGCAAAGCTTTGGTTCATGATAGTTGTGACCATCTTTTAGTTCTTATTTGTGAGTGTGGTTTAGAGACAACAATCTGTCTCACTGGGGTGGTAAACACTTTTATCATTTATAAACCACCTTATTTGGAAATAGTGTCCACAAGTCAAAGCTTACAAGTACCGGAAGATTTCTGTAATCCATATATTGTAGTAATATGGTCTGTGTTGTGATTAAATATTGGATTTTTATTCATTGGTCTTTCAGTTGAGAACTCACAAGCCTGGGAGCACCCAAGATAACTGCTTATTTGCATTTTGATCCCTTAACATAAAATAACCCATCAAAGTTCATTCCATGACCTAAACCTTGAAATAGACCACATTTTAGAGTTAAATGTTCAGGCAATCTGATGGTTTAACCAGTTGTCTTTTATATCTGATTTTTAAAATATCCTTTTGAAGAGATGTGTTTTATAAATAGAAAATTCTAAATACACGCTGTGTTTAATTTTTATTTCCAGGTTGGTGAGAACAGATGCAAAAAAGTTTGTACTTCAAAGTCTGACCTGAGATCTAATGACTTCAGCATTGTGGGGAGCTTGCCAAGAGATTTTGAATTATCCAACTATGACTGCTATGGGAAACCTATCGAAGTCAACAATGGACTTGGGAAATCGCAGGCAAAGAGCAACAAGAAGCCTCCCCCCGCCAAACCCGTTATTCCAACAGCAGCAAAGAGAATCGACCTTTATGCAAGAGCATTGTTTCCGTTCTGCTTCTTGTTCTTCAATGTTATATATTGGTCTGTATATTTATGATACACTGTTTCCCATTTCTATAAAAAAATCCCATTTCATTGTGACCAACCTCACTCCTCAATGCCAATCTGTGAAGATATATTGCATTTTGGATGCCATTTGATTGTAAAAAAAAAATGTGGCACCTAAATTTTGAATGGCAGCATGGTCTTGTTACATCTGTGCTCTAAAAATGATGTATATATGTATAGCAAACATATTGCTTTAGGAATAAATGAAGGGTAAGCATACTACATAAAATAAAATTCAAATAATTCTCTGCAGTTAGTGTAAATTGCAAATACTTCAGATAATTCTGATAAAATGACATGCACGCTGAATCCTGTTATGATCACCATTCTAAGATATGTAGTATTTCAAATTTCCTTCCTTGTAACTTTCAGAGAAAGCCATCTTATTCTTGTATAATTTTTGATGGTTTTATCACAGATTAAGCAAAGTCATATTACATATTATTTAAACTTTGTAAGTAGAGGTATATCAGCTATAATTATGTGGGCTCTGTGGAGAAATAAAGTTTAGAAATTTACTAATTTGTAAAATCAGCTCATTTTAAAGTGTGTCTGTGTTGTCAAAAGGCCAGATAATAAAACACAGTAATCATTTTTGAAGCAAAGGGATATCTGGATTTATGTAAATAAACTGAATTCTGGCTTCTGATAAGATAAAAATAAAGGCTAGATACATTGACTAAGTATTTCTGATAAAAGAAATTGTATTTAACCCACATTAAAACCTAAATATATTTTCATGGACTTCATTTGCTGATACAGAGTATACACAATACTTGTGCCTTATAAAGAGTGACATCTATTTTAAATTGGAATATAGCAAAGGATATGTGATTTTACATCACATTTAAGAAACCAAGAGGAAAATACCCTATTAATAGAAGTAACTTGAGTTGAGGTGGTGGGGATAAGGGGAGCCCATAATCATTTAAGACTTTTAACTTATTTTATTAAAATGCTTACATATTTTTAAGTAAAATTTAAATTTTTCTTAATTCATTTATTTTTTCGCATTTATTTAAATATGATTTTTAAATTTGTCACACAAAAAATTAAAGATTAGGTAAATATCTTTGTTTATGTTAGGCCTGACTTCTCTGTATGTCCTTTTTTGTTAAAGGTCTAGACTACCTAGATTTACTGAGTTCATCTTGTTCTAACCTGAAAATAGGCACTTTGTAGTCTCTAAGATTCCCATTTCCTAGTAATATCACAGTACCTTTTTATTTCTCCAAAGCTGAAATTAGAACTATCAGTAATTCACATAGCATAAATATACGACCAAATAAACATATTTATTTGGAGACTTTTGTTTGTATGGTCAATTCTATAATAAAATGTGTTTAAGTATTGTTTATATAAATTGTGATATATAATTTAATGCTATTCAATTGAAGACTTTAATAGTTGTTCGTAATATTTTTCTTACAAACCTGTGTATTTCTTTGGTGTCAGTTGTTACTTCTCTTTCATTTCTGATTTCATTTATTTGGGTCCCCTCTCTTTTTTTCTTAATGAGTCTGCTTCAAAGGTTTGTTCAACATCTTTTCCTAAAACCAGCTCTTGGTTTCATTGATCATTTGTATTTTTTCTAGAGTCTATTTCATGTATTTTTTCTCTGAACTTTATTATTTCCTTTCTTCTACTCACTTTGGGCTTTGTTTGTTGTTCTTTTTCTAGTTCCTTTAAGCGTAAAGTTAGATTGGTTGAGATTTTTTCTTGTTTCTTGAGATAGGCCTGTGGTGCTATGAATTTCCCTCTTAGGCTACTTTCACTATGTCCCATACATTTGGGGTTGTTGTGTTCTCATTTTCATTTGTTGCAAGGTAACTTTTGATTTCTCCCTTAGTAACATGTTATTCATCCTCTGTGTCTTTGTGTGTTTTTTTCAGTTGTTTTCCCCTGTGATTGATTTCTAGTTTCATACAATTGTGGTCAGAAAAGATGCTTGATCTGACTTCACTCTTCTTAAATGTATTGAAACTTTTTTTTTGGCCTTACATGTAGTCTATCCTAGAAAATGTTCCATGTGCACTTGAAAAGAATGTATATCATAGTGTTTTGGGGTGAGATGCTCTTAAATATCAATTAAATCCATGGGATTTTAGTGTGTCATTTAAAGCTACTGTTTCCTTGTTGCTTTTCTGTTTGGAATATCTATCCATTGATGTCAATGGAGTGGTAAAATCCCCTACTATGTCTATGGAACTGTTGGTCCCTCCCTTTATGTCTACCAAGGTTTGCTTTACATATTTATGTGCTCTTATGTTGGGTGCTTAAATTTTTTCAAGAGTTATATCCTCTTATTGGATTACTCCCTTTATCATTACATAGTGTTCTTCTTTGTCTCTTACTATAGTCTTTGTTTTAAAGTCTATTTGTCAGATATAAGTATTGCTATTCCAGCTTTTACTTTATTTCCTTTTGCATGAAATATCTTTTTCCATCCATTTACTTTTAGTCTGTGTGTATCTCTCATTCTGAGGTGGGTCTCTTATAGACAGCATATGTGAGTTTTGTTTTCTTATCCATTCAGCTCCCTATGCCTTTTGATTGAAGCATTTAAGCCATTTACATTTAAAGTGATTACTGCTAGGTATGTAATATTGCCATTTTACTCATTTAACTATGTTCCTTGTTTGTTTGTTTTTTCTTCTTTTTCTTAAAGGAGAACATTTAACATTTTTGTTTTGGTAGTAACAATCTCCTTTAGTTTTTTCTTTAACGTTACTGGTTTGATGGAAAAAAAAAAACACACTCAAACCTCCTTTAGTTTTTCCCTGTCTTAGAAGCTCTTAATTTCTCCTTCTATTTTATAAGATAGCCTTGCAATAGCCAAGATTTGATAGCAGCCCAAGTGCCCATCAGTAGATGAGTAGATAAAAAAGCTGTGATATATTTACACAATGAGATACTACTCAGCCATGGCAAAGAAGGAAATCTTAACCTTTGGTGACAGCTTGGATGGACCCAGTCAGAGAAGGACAAGTACCATATGATTTCAATATGTGGAATCTAATGAACAAAATAACCAACCAAACAAAATAGAAACAGACTCGTGGATATAGAGAACAGATTGACAGCTGTCACAGAGGATAAAGCGAGTTGGGAGTTTGGTGAAGAATGTCAAGGGATTAAGCAAAGAAAAAAACTCAGACACAGACAACAGTAGGGTGATTACCAGGGCAAAATGGGGGTGACAGAGATAGAAGAGGGTAAAGCTGGGATTAATGGTGATAGAAGGAGTAAAAATATTTTACAGACTTACTTGTTACTAATATTAATGGACAATATGGATGTAATATTCAAGGTTTGTTATACTCTTAGTGTGTGAAAGTACATAAAAACTTGATTATTTTATGTTTTTATACATTGTGCATTCTCTCTACATACACATGTGTATTATACATATGCATACATGTTATTTTACTTTTCCCTTAACCAGCAAGAACAATGAGAAAATTAATGAATCCCAATTCAGTTGAAATTTCTATACTCAAACTAATAAGTGCATTCTTACTGCCATAAGTATTTTTAAATTTCTCAAATTTCACATATCACACCCAAAACAGTCCTTTCCAAGCCTTCTCAGAGTTGATTACTAAACAAAAAATTGTAAATCAGTAAATCCTTATTAGGTATTTAATATGTTAAAGGCTTTGTGTTACCCAAAATTATAAAGAGGAATAAAATATAAGTCTCATTCTTAAATAACAATCAATATAGTATTTTGCATATTTATGCTAAATATGCAAATCACTATAATATAAATCAGAATATAATTCATATTTAAAAGCATAAGAAAGAACAAACTAAATCAATTATTTGTCTCAAAGAAAAACACCTGTCTTAAAGAAAAATGAATAAGAAATACTTCAATAAAGGTAAATAAAGGTCATTTTACTATAGGTCATACAATTTTGAATCTAGATGCTAATTAAATGAAAAAATGAATTGTAAAGAGCAGAAATATTATAATAGAAAATGTTAAAGCACTATATGAATTTTTTCCCTAGTTAGTGGGAATAATGAGCAGTAAAGCAAATTTTCCTTAGCTGATGATGTAATGCCCTTTACCTAATGTTTGTTTCTTAACTAAAAACTCCCATCTGATCGTAATCCTATAACTTACAACAATTTTTAGTAAATCCCAAATTGCAGCCTGAGGCAATTGGAGTTCAGCTAATATCATTCATAGCGAGGCAGAGAAAGGAGGCAGAGCCCTCCATGGTGTAGCAAGAATTGCAGTCCAACTACAGGTCCTTTCTCAATTACCTCATCAAACAGGGATTTTATTACTCAGTCAGCATTGCCTCACCCTATGCCATTGTTGACACATAACAGAAACAGCATTTTGTGAAATGCTAAACAAGATAAAGAGGCAAATAATTTTAGCTTTTGAAAAGCTCAGCTCAGCTTATTGTATATTCTCATGGATGTTCTTTTAAATGTTTATTAGAGTTGGAAATGTAGCAGGAAGAAAATGGCATTGACCAATAGTAAACATCGTCTGCTTCAATCTCATGCCATCTAGATTTTAGAAATCTCTTCCTTAGGACACCAATTAGGCACACAATGGCAGCATCTTATCTGCTTGCTTTACTAACATGTAAGCTTTTAAAAAAATATATAAGTCAGAAACTATAGGCTTGTGGGCTACAAAGATGATCTTTAACTTACTAGCCAAGAGAATATTATATGGAACTCATTACGAGGGAATACCTAATAAATTCTGCCTTGGACTATTAGAAAGCCTCTTTCTAAACACAGCTGCACTTTTCTGGTTCATTCATTTGTATAGTCAAAAGCTCTTTCATTCAAAAATCACTAGTTTCCAATCATTCCACTGGCATTTTAGAAGCTTTCAAATTTCTAGATGAATTAATTTAAATGTCCAAATATAAATGTGAAAATTCCTCAGTAATATGTGTGGCATACATATTAAATGAAAATAATCTAAGGCTCTAAAATAAAGCAAAAGACAATATTGTATGTAAACACATAGGAAGGCAGGGCAGCGTAGTAGAAAGACCCTTGGATCAGAATAGTAGTACTTGGGTTATGGTTCTGGGTTTGCTGTTTACAACTTGCAAACTTTCTGAAACAATCCTTTGCTCTGTTACCATATTTTTAAAGAGGGAATAAAAATACTACAAGAATTACCAATTACAACGTGTAAGTCTGTCTTTCACAGTGGTTACAAGCAAGGCCTTGGGAAGATAGTCTAGGCTGGAGTCCACTTACAAGTGTAAATCTTGAAAAATTATTTTACATCTGTGAATCTCAAATTCCTCATTCTTACATGAATAATAAGGACAACCTCATAACATTACTGTGAGGATTTAATGTACTATTAAATGGAAAGTTCTTAGCAAAGTTTCTAGCACATTGTAAGTGTACAATAAATTGTAATTATTATCTCATTTTACCTCTCATTACTACCACTACTACACTATTTCTAGCACTAAAACTACTTTTAATGATGTTTAAGTTTTTCAAAAAAATTTAAATTAATTTTCAGTGTTAGGCTAAAAAACACACTGACATTTTGACAACAGCTGCATATTACTTCTGCCCTTTAGGTATCTCAGCATTCATCATCATTAACATTGATTTAGAATATAAATTAATTTAAAGATAAGAGCATTAACATGAACTATAAATTGCATATTTTTTACTCTTCAAGTGAATAAAGGAGTCTTTGGAATATTTACTGGGAGCTACATAATTAAAAAATTTGGTTGCGGGTAATGTAATATATTAATGCCCCAAATTCAGAATCCACATATTTAAGGGTCATATTTTACATTTATTCTATAAAAAGAAAAATGAATAAATGAAAATATTTCAAATTTTAAAAAAAGAATAAGGAGAACAATTTCCTAGATGTGTAAAACATGCTGTATAAATTGAGCTCAATCTCTTATAACTCATGCATGCATGGTACTAATAAAAGATAATTAATGCTAATAATGATTACC